TTAAATGGGTTTCCTGTATACAGCATATATGGTTGGTCTTGGTTTACTATACCTATTAGTTATTTAGTGATTACTCTATTTGAAATATACACCTTTACATTATTTTACCTAATCTTTATTATTTCCTTTCTTCTGCTTACTTTATTTTTATTTATTCTTTTTAATCTTCATTTATTTATTTTCTTCTGATTTCTTAGAGTGGAAACTGAGGTCATTGTTTTGAGACTTTCCTTCTTGCATAATATAGGCATTTTGGTGCTATAAATTTCCCCCTACATGCTGCTTTAGCTGCGTTTCACACATTTTAATGTGTCATGTTTTTATTTCAGTTAAGTTCAGAATACTTTCTCATTCCTCTTTTGATTTCTTCTTTGATCCATGGATTATTTATAAGTGTGATATTTAGTTCTAAAATATTTGGAGATTTTCCAGATATCTTTTTGCTGTTGATTTCTAATTCATTTCCACTGCAGCCAGAAAATGTACTTTGAATCTTCTCAAATTTAATTGAGACTCACTTTATGGCCTAGAACAGAATATAGTCTAGCTTGTTTAGTGTTATGGGTGCACTTGAAAAGATATGTATTCTACTGCTGGTTGATAGAGTGTTATTGTAATGCCACTGGTTACACCAAGTCAGTTGTTAGTGCTGTTGTTCAAGTATTCAAACCTCTGACTCTAACTTGTCTGTCCTCACAGTTCTATCAGCTTTTTCTTCATGTGTTTGAGAGTGTGTTATCTGGTGCATAAATATTTAGAATTGTTATGTGCTTTTGATGAATTGACCTCTTTCTCATATCACTCTTTGTCCTGGTAATATTCATTGCTCTGACATATATCTTGTCTGATATTAATATAGTCCTCCAGATTTTTTTATTAGTGTTAGTATGGCATATCTTTTCTTACTGTTTTACTTTTAATTTACTTATATTTTATATTTAAAGTACATTTTTTTGTAGACACCATAAAACTGAGTCTTGCTATTTTATTGTCTCAATCTTTGCTTTTTATTTGGATGCCTAGATCACTTACATTTAATGTAATTATGGAAATAATAGGATTAAATTTACCATCTTGTTATTCGTTTTCTATTTCTGTAAGATTTGTCTCTTCTCGTAGTACTCTCTTTCCCTTTTTTTCTGTCTCCTTTTGGATTAATTTAATACTTTTAAAGCATCTATTTTATCTCCTTTTTTGGCATGTTAGCTATAAATCCTTTTAATAGTCATTTCTTATGGGTTTATAGTGTTCATCTTTAAATGTTTAAGAAAGAAGGAGACAGAGCTGTCAGCGTAGAGTCCCATGTAGGGTCTGAACCCATGAACCATGAGATCATGACCTGAGCCAAAATCAAGAGTCGGATGCTCAACTGACTGACCACCCAGACATCCCCATAGTGTTCATCTTTAATATACACAGCCTAACTTAAAGTAATATTATACCATGTGTGCTACATATAGTATAAGAACCTTACAACAATTCTAGTTTCATATCTTCCCAACAAATAATCCCAATAAAATGATAATTGCTCCATTTCAATATCAGTGTTTCAATCCCAGAGAAGATTTGAAGTGGCCTTGCCTGGGTTCCATGATTATCCCTAAACAGATATGGACAGAGCCATGAATATTTGGTTAAACCTGAATTCCTGCAGCAGCCCTTCTAGATCTTCACAGAATTGGGAAGGAGCTCACCAAAAGAACCTAAGAAGAAGAATGCAAAGTGCACTAATTAGACAAAACTTAGAGCTATCATAGACCGCTACAGGCAAACATATCACATTACAGATTGGCAGGTAGAGAATTCTCACGCACTTGCTATAAATTCCCAGTATATTTTGCTAACAGTACTGAACGTGGCCACACAAAGCAGAAGCAGGTGAAGCATTTCTTTATATGACATTTTCCTTCCCCTTGTATCCCCCAGGGCACACAGCCACCAGTGACACTCTGTATTCTTGTCAAGCTGAAAAAGAAGCCAAATATTCCACGACCCTTTTATATTTGACTTTCATCAGCACTCTGGAAAAATTTTTACGAACAATATAAGCACTTCTGTGTAAGGCAGTTTCTCAACCTTGAAACTATTGACATTTTGAACCTGATAATTCTTTGCAGTAAAAGGGGCTGCCCTGTGCATTGTAGGATGTTTACCAGCATCCCTGGACACTACTCGCTAGATGTCAGTAACTGCCTCCCCAGTTATGACAATAAAAAATTTCTCCAGATAAGGCCCCCAGGGGAACACTCCTACTGTTGAGAACCATTGGTTTAAAGGGATGTTTGCAAACATAGGGATCTACAGTTTCTTGACCCCAAATCAGCACCAGCTGATAGGGGAAAAGCAGAATCAACATTATGTACCATCCACCCCTGTTCCATATCCCTGCAAGCCCATCTGCACTTAAGGGACCCTGTCTGTTGTTCCCACTGCAAAAACAGCTCCAGCGCCTGGAAAAGAACAATGCCCAACCACCACCATCGCAGCCGATGTTAAAAGAATAAGCGAGTAAGTGGATGGATTGATGGATGAATGAAAAGAAAACTACAAAGATTATTCAGTGTCATTCTGGGGAAAGGAGTGACACAGATACAGAAGAAAAGGGGTTATTTTGTTCTTTCACTAAAAATATCTATATATTAATTTTATCATAATTTTTACTTTCATGATTTAGAAAATGTTAACTGTTTTATTTCTAAGCACTTGAAAGTCTAATCAAACATTTTCTCTTTGATAACTATGTTTTTAATTTTCTGGCTTTTTTTTTTTTAAGTACACATGTGGACTTTAGTTGACCTTTTGAATACTGTATCACCAAGTCCAGAGCTTGATTTCTTTTTCCTTAAACTTATGAGCAAAGAGCCATAATGTGAGTGATTTGTGAATGGGGTTTATGTTGGGAAGAAAATGTACTTAGCACAAAAGTAACCTGAGTCGTCACATTCAGTTATGTTCATTGGGCTTAAGGGCAGGGCTTGGAGTGCAGGCCCCATCACATCTCGAGCCTGACAGAGCTTGGGTGAGCGTGGACCTCCCAGAACTGTATGCTGAGAAAATGGGTGAGATGAAGCTTCATCGGCATGATTCTGGTTACTCCTGTTTTGCTTTGTCAAACTGAGATTTTCTGAGCAGGACGAGAGGAGGGGGTGGTGAGCTAGGTGCAGTGAAAAACCTCCTGAGGGAGGAACAGGTGTTTGGGCCTTTCTGCTTAAGGCAGACAGAAGCCAAAGGGCAAAGGAATAGAGCAGGGAGTGTGGAAGGAAAAAGATAATTTGTGGGGACAGCTGTTGTTTCTGTTTCTCCTCTGCCACCAGCAGGAAGTTGGATCAGATCCTCCCTCTTCAGGGAAAGCAGACACCTGTCCTGCAACAGGGAACCAGCAGAATGAAACTGTCCAGCGCCTGCCCGGTGTGCCACCACCCCACACTCCTGTAGAATTCTTGTCTCTTCCCCTCACTCTATCTGAGAGGGAAAGGCCCAGCCACCTGGGTGTCTTGAGATCCAGGTTCCAGGAACCAGAAGAGCCTGGCTTGCAGAGTGAGGTCATTTATTTACACAATGCAAGTGATGCGCAGAGATGCAGAGCAATCCATCTGCCTTAGCGACCAAACAGATTCCCTTCGCCTCATCCTCCTGCAGAAGCGGTCAAGGCAGGGAGGTTGGGCGAGGTGACCTTCCAGAACTGAATCTTTGCTTCTAAAAATAGAAGCATCTTTGGAGACTCGAGGAAGGGAGGGGAGTCTGTGGATGTTGAGGGCAAAACCTGGACTCCCCAGAGCATTGTCAGTATGAAACCGTATTAATTAGACACAGACACCCAGCTCGATAACCTTAGGTATCAAAGAAATGGAAAGTAAATGAACTGGCTTTTTCCCCCCCTTTCTGGTAACTCCTTGGGCTATAAAGGAGAAAGAGAACCATGTCGTCCGACCTATTTGAATGGCTGCACACTGCCTGAGGAGATGTCTTCCCCAGCAAAGGGAAACGGGCTCCTTAGGGACACACTAAGAGAAGGCAAGAGCTACAGCTAAGTGGGAACCCCCAAGACCAGCAGTAGGGGGTCACACCCATTTCTCCCTGTGTAGAGACTACAGAGGGCTCTGTCTGAGGCTGGGCAGGGCCAGGCGAGTATCTGGGTGTGTCCAGGGCTGTGGAGGGCATGCATGGGGTCACGGGGTGGCACTCACAGCCTTCTGCAGGGTCCTTGTCTAGAGCCACATAGTAGGGGCAAGGTGTTTCAGGATCCAGTGGAGCCGTGTGTTGGTCTACATACATAGTGCGTGACCAGGTTGTGTGCAGTGCTCTGCTGGGTGGAGGGTTGTTGGCTGAGTGTGTATGTGTGCACGTGCATGCACTTGTGTGTGTTTTGGGATGCGGGTATTTGCAGGAGTGTGTGCAAGTATGACAGCAATCCTGAGGGGACTGGGTAGGGGAGTGTGTAGGGCTGTAAGGGAAGGAGGCATACAGATGGTGGCTATTTGGAGACTTTGCCCTCATGTGGGGCCTGTGGGGAAGACTATGGGGGAAGGGCTATACGAAACAGGGAGAGGCTGTGTGGGGCTGTGTGTGGAGCATGTCTGCGCCGCTGGTGGGGCTTTGCAGTCCTAAGGAGCACTTCTTTGGGTAGCTTTGTCCTGGGGGGGGCCCTGGGGGATTGTGGTGGGAATATGAATGGAACCACATGGGAAATAGCCAAGGCTCTGGGGGCTTCATTCCTGGGGGCTGTGCAGGGCCGCAAGTGGCTAGATAGAGGGTGAGGCCCTGGACGGCCTCCACAGCTTTGCCATCTGAGGACAGGCTATACTTCCTTAGGGTCTGGGGCTCCCAAAGTCCAGGCATTTGTTCTCCTCCTTGTGGTTGACGTGAAGCAAGACATAGCAGGGATTCACAAGATGAGCCGAGGACCAGTGGTGTCCCTTCCAATGCTGTCCTGCAGCTGGTCCTTATGCGTGCCAGGCTGAGGACAGTTTCCAATGAGTCCGCTTGTGCTTTCTCAACAGGACAATGTGGATCTTGGAGAGCTGATGTTTTCCCTCTGCTACCTTCCAACTGCTGGCAGGCTGACCATCACCATTATAAAAGCGAGGAATTTAAAGGCAATGGACATAACAGGAGCATCAGGTGGGACATTCTCAAATTCAGACTTCCTCCCATGGTTCTAATGTAGTATTTATGAAGTCTCTAATAGAGTAATAAGGTGCATAAAACCAAACTACCTAGGTTTAATTCCTCTCCTAGACCTCATGGCTGTATGACTTTGGGCAAGTCCCTTAACCTGTCTGAGCTTCAGATTCCCCATCTGTAAAATGAGGCTAATAATAGTATCTGGCTCATTGGGTTATCATAAGATTAAATAAGTTAGTGCATATAATGTCATAAAACAGTACCTGGCACATATGAAATGCTACCTAATGGGAATAGTCATTAATCTCTTGTATGTCTTCTTCACCATAGTTGTGAACTGGACCTACAGTTTACACATGCTGACACAGCTTATCTAATTGGGTCTTTCTTCAGATACAAGTAATCACCATCTCAGGCCTATGGAAGATTGAAAACAATCATATATCCTCCTACAAGGCCTGTCAATGAACTATGCAGTTTGGTATTCTAACCATATTCTAAACCATAACAAGAAAGCCCTGATATGCAGGTCCTACTGTACACATTCCCAAGCAACTTCTTCAGGGGCTCCCAAAATGTGGTCATAGAACACCCAGTCCACTGGCTGTTGATCACAGAAATCAATGGACATCAGATGCAGTATATTCTGCTTACTTACTGGCCTCCAGTATTTTTCCAAGAGAAAAAAAGATGTGGCCCCTTCTGGCCTTTCAGTGCCTCCTGGACAGTGTATGGGGAGTCAGGGAAACACGTGGTTGTGCAGGCAAGGAGAGAAAGAGAAGTCCCCATGGAGCAGAAGGATAGTGAGGCAGAACCAGAGAAGTCCCACCTGAAGCAGAGACCAACCTTGTCACCTGTCACCCTATGCCAAGGTCATGCCATAAGCAAGCTTTGTCCTTTCCCTGCTGTGCTGAACTGCTTCCCCCTTTGCAACCCAACTTCAGGCAGCTCTGGGGCTTGAAGCCCCTGTACTCCCCAAAGCTGTCCCTGTCATCTAGGCATTCTATCTGTCCCTTTCCTAAAGACCTGATGTTTAAGAAGAGACTGTCTGGGGTGGTTCAGAGTCGGGGCCTTCAGCCCATTTTTCCTGCCTTGGATATACCTTTGTATCTCTCCCCATTGCAGCCAGGCAAGTCTGGAATTCTAGCTGGAACATTTTCTAATTTGGTAACAGATATTTTCACACTATTTTTAAATTCCACACACTTTGAGGAGACAGTGTCCTGTGCTTTTTCTTGAATGAATGTCTTAATTATCCTAACTGTAGTCACTGCCCAGGCATCTTATTAATTAAAATCCTCAAACTCCAGCCCACAGGGAGGTAAGGGAGTTCTGCATCCCGTAGTCCGTGGAACTCCACAGTGATGGAACTGCCCCCTACATCCACATGTATCCTCTCAGTACCCCCACTTCTCATGGTTGTACAGATCCCTACGTGAAAGTGTCACTGATGTGTGATGGCAGACGACTGAAGAAGAGGAAAACATCCACCAAGAGGAACACTCTGAATCCCGTTTACAACGAAGCCATAGTCTTTGACGTCCCTCCCGAGAACATTGACCAAATCCACTTGTCCATAGCCGTCATGGACTATGACCGGTGAGATACCTGGAGCTTTTTCTCAGGGCGGAAAATGTCTCTTGTGCCCAGGACAGGGAGGGAAGAGGGGGAGTGTGGCCACATGTTCTTAGCTGGTGTCCCAGGCTGCAGGAAATGAGTCAAATGGACACCCCGGGAAAGCTGACTGACAAGGAGTCGCCATTTTCCAAACCATGCTTTAGAGTTATATTACCCAAGTGCCTCTTTGCTCTCCACGTTTTTATTTCTTTCTCCTTCCCCATCCTCCCCTCCTCCCCACCTCATCCCCTTTCCATTCCTGCATACTCCCCAGAATCTCAGCTTGGAAAAACCTGGTTCTGCAGGTCTTAATCTTCTCCTGCGCAATCCTGCCTGGCCTTCGTGGGAAGATTCCACTCAAAATAGCAGAGTGATTACTTTAGCCACACCATCAACATTTCTAAATACATAACTCTGTTATTTTTTCCCTTCTCCAAGTGTGTTTAATAAAGATCATTTCCATCCACTTAAGTCTGAAAGCAAACAGAAATGTTCTCTTGAAAATGCTAGAATCAGTATGGATGACAGGGTACATTAAAATGTATAAGATGCTCGACTTTCTAATTAATACAGCACAGAAGAGATATTTATAGCCTGCATTGTAGCCAATTGTGTATTTAAAGGACAGATTTGAAAAACAGTCATTTTAATATGCAAAGGAAGTACCAACAGGGAATTAGACATGTTAAACCAGTCATTGGACTGAAATGCAGAGTCTCTTTTTAATTGGAAACCTCCCACGTGGTCTGGGCACAAGTATAAAAAAAAATCATTCTGACTTCTAATATAATCTTACAAATATTATTTGTAGCTGAAAATTTTCCCACATACCCCTGAAATGTCACTAAGGCAGCATCAGTGCCCTGAACACCCTTTCTAGCAGATGCCTAGGTGAAACACAACTGTCTTCCAGCTCAGGGAACACATGGGTTGGCTCAGCTGCCCATGGGTGTGACAGCCCACATGGAGCAATAAACCTTATCTTGTCTTCTCTGGACGAAACACAGCACCAGTAGTGTCAGGTCACAGGAGGGGACGTTGCCCACCAACCGTGGAAATCTAGGCCAGCTTTTTTCAAGCGATTGCCAAGATTCCCGCATCAACAAATCTGATTATATGAGCTCTGCTTCAATTCAATTCTCAGTAAACTCATGAATCTGCCTGGAAAAATCCATGGCAGAATTCATGGGGCTTCTGCACACAACTGATTTTAATGAGCACAGACTCAAATGTCCTTCACACTCCCCCACCCGTGTCTTGCCATTACTCCCTACATACAAATAGGAGAAAAATTACTCATCTTTGCAGGAAGGAAAACAACAGAAAGTCCATGAGCTCGGATCGTAAAGAGTTAAAGGATGGGTCATATCATTCTAGTTACACAGGCGACTTCTAACCAGAAACTGCTAAGGGGAAAGATTGCCCCAAGGCAGGCACCTACCCAGGGAAAGTTTCAGAAATATTAGCCCTAAAGTTAAAGGAGCTAAGTATCTTTCTACAGTAGGGAAATCAAGTTGGGTCAAAGAAACAAAGGTGGGCTTGGAAGGAAGGAGGGGAGAGTGGGAGAACACACATTCCCTGAAGAGAGGGGTTGCAAGGAGACTCAGGAAGTATCCCCACCCTGCCCCCTTTGTAAGCTCCAGACTATGGCTGCCCTACCCAATACTTCTCTTTTACACATACTTGGTTGCCTCTTATAGGAATTTGAGCAGCCATTAATGCAAGGAACTCCTTTCAGATGGCCTCCTTTTCATTACATAGGTTTGAAGACCTGGAGGTCAGCCTCATTCTAGAACCAGAGTTGTCATCCCTAGCATGCATCAGGAACAAGCTAAGCCATGCCAGTGTTACAAAAGCTCAGGTGTGTGACAGCTAACCTCTGCTCTTCCTCTCTGTGCCACCAAGTACCATCTTGGATCCCAAGTTCTATTGGCTTTTAAGCTTGTCCTGTAGTTTTAAATTAAGGAATGAAAAGAACCACCCCTTGCCTAATTCCACTCGGTTTGAGTAGTTGTTGCTCTTACATACCAAAATTTTAAGAAAAAGTTATTGTGGGCCGTTTTCACAGTGTAGGTCATAATGAGATCATCGGCGTGTGTCAAGTAGGCAACGAAGCCGAGAGGCTGGGCAGAGACCACTGGAGTGAGATGTTGTCGTATCCTCGGAAGCCCATTGCACACTGGCATTCCCTGGTGGAGGTAAGACCCTACTCCCACATGCTCCACTTTGTGGAAGAATAAATGCTTTACTGTTGAAATGCAGAAGACACCAAGAGTGTGAGTGTACCGGGGTCTACAGTCACTGATGGGTTTCTCTGGTTGCCTTTTCTGAGGCCGTTGGAAATTGCATTCAGCCTGAGGTTGAGTCTGTGCTCCCCCTCTGTCTAGTGGGTTTTGGACATTGATCACTCATCCCTCACTTTGATTGTCTTCAAGAATGACTAAGATTCTCTGATTCCATGTCATGGCTTTGGGTTGACATTTGGAAGGTGTCTACAGGATCCAGATGAGTGTGGAATTTCAGGTCGCCATATAGTGACTTATGTGTAGCATCAGAAAGAACCTGAGACTAGGAGAGAGGAGGCCTGGATTCCAGGACCGGCTGTGGCATTAACCTGTGATTCTGGACAAGCTGTTTAATATCAGATTCAACTACATGTGATAAAAATGCACAAAACAACAAATGAAATAGAAATTTATATCTCTCTTACATAAAAAAAGGTCCAAAAGAAGGTAGCCTAGTGGCTCTGTGATTACAATAGAGAACTAGACTTCTGTCTTTCTGCTTCACTGTCCCAGTGTGGGGTTTTTTTGAGGTCACCTCATTGAACAACATGGCTGCTAAGCTCCAACATATCTTTTCAGGTCATCCAAAGGTAGAAAGAGGCAAGATCCAAAAGCACACACATTCTCTTTCAAAGGATTTTCTTTGATGTCTCATGTGACACATCTACTTATATTTAACTTAGTCACAGAGTTTAGTCGCATGGACATATGTGGGAAATGTATTCTTTTACTGGGTGTAAATAGTCCCAACTAAAAACCGGGGTTTGTGTGCAGGGAAGAAGAGATGAGTGAATACTTGCATCCAGTGGGCCATCATTCTGCTTCACACCTTCATTCATTCATTTACCAACCCCCATCATTTACTTCTCATTCATGCTTCCCCCATCCATCTTTGCTCATTGGCACCCTCTCTTATTTATGTGCTAACTCATTCTTTCAAAAACAAATTGCATTTATTAGGTATCACCTGTGAGAGTCAAATGCCATATTAGGTAAAGAGAATAGATGTGAATAAGAAACCTCCTGTGAAGAGCTTGTAGACCACAAAAGAGACAGAAGAAGGCATGCAAACTAACCACTAAAATGCACAGTCATGAGCCTTAACATCCATATCAGGTGCTACAGGAGCACAAAGGTGGCAGGTGAGACTGTCCAGGAAAGCATTTTCCCTCCTGCTCTTGGTTAAGTGATGGGAAGTAAGCCCCTGGAAAACGGGACTCCAGGAAGCATGGGTTCCAGGCAGAGAACTTTCCTCTTATTCTTCCAGTACAGGCAGCTCTATTCCCAGCAAAGCCATCCTGAGAGGCCAAGACAAAACCTCAGTGGTGTGGGTTCCGTTGCCATCAAGATTCAGGAGAATCGGGTCGAGGCAGACCTGGGGAGGCAGAGGGCCCTGGGGAGGAAGGGACAGTCTTCCTTTGTTGGAGATGGTGCCTGAGGGAGAAGACCGGCATAGAACCTATGGACTGATTCTAAGCTTCAGGGCCTGGGGTGTATTCAAGCAGCACCTAAGGCCCCCTAATTTATAGGTCCCCAAGGATATCTCTGCCCCTGGGCCAGTGAAGTTAAGACTCGTTCTTTTCTGGACTCAAAATTAATCCCTGAGGGAGACCCACGGCCCCCTGAATCACCTGAGAAGTAGCTGCAAGTCAGATGCTAACCCAACTGCCCCTCACTTCTTCAGCTCCTGGGGGAGCCCTCAAAGGAGTCCATGTGAGGGCTCATTATACTGCCTGAGTCTGTCAGTACCAGTGACCATCAGAGCAGTGGTAATAGACTTTTTGTACCCTTCAGTCACAGCTGACTTTAATTCTTGTTTGTAATCAGGAGTGTCACAGAATGTCACAGAGCTCTCTGCCTCTCAGGTCCCAGGATGGGAAAGGAGTAAAGTTTAGGGATGTGGTGTGGGGCTGAGACAGGAGCCCCTGTTTGGTGCACAGCAGCTCCTTCTCAGTGCCCTTGCCGGGGAGTGAGGACAGGTGGTGTATTGTGCACGGGACCCTGAGTGGCGGTGCATGCATGGTACCCAACGGGGAGCGTGGAAAGAGGGCCTTGGAGACTTCTTTTCACTCCTGAGGAAAAAGCACTGTCTGACTTTGCTCGCTTGGGAGATGGTCCCTAAACCCTGGGCACTTGACTTTTTGCAAATAAGGGTATGATAGCCATGTAAGTGAGAAATCAGTGTTTTTAGGGTTAAACCACCGAAACTTGGGAGTCGTGTGTTGCAGCAGCTAGAATGACTTCAGCTGGTACAACAGTGGTCTCTTAACTGCTGCCCCAGAATGACATGCCTGCACACCTTTGTGAGGGGCAAGTGAAGAGGGGGCCATCTCTGCCCCGTTGCTTCCTGTCTCTTTGAAGTATGCGCCCAGGACCCCACATCCATCCGAAGAGTGGAAGCGGTACTTTCCCTTTTAAAAATAAACGTGCAGCCAAAAGAATTGGGGCACTAGTACGAGATGAGATGAAAAGCAGGATTGGAGAGGTCATTGCGCTTTGCCGACAGCTGTAAGGAAGGAGGGAACTGGACTCAGAGCCGTTGGTCAGAGGCACTCACTGTGGAGTTGGATGGACCTAGAGTCAGATCCCAGTGCTGCCACTCACAAGTTGTTCCTCCCTTTCTGAATCTCAGTGTTCTCCTCTGCAAAGTGGCCCCTAACAGCGCCTGTCTCCCAAGGGTGGTTGTGAGGATCAGACAGTGAAGCCACAGCGGCTGTAGACGCTCAGGGAGGTTCTCTGTTACGGTCAGTACTATGTATGCCCCGCATGGTAAGGGGCTGCCGTGTGTCCTCATGGAACCCTCAGCCATCATGTTTGCCATGGAGGATAAAAGGAAGGCTGGAAATCCCACCCCCTGCACCCTCAGATGGGGGGAAGGGGCTAGACGTAGATGCATGCCCTTAAGTTTTGATTCTTCTCCTCTCCTCTTACACTGTCTGAGAACCTTTAGATTTTCTGCGTAAAAGCAAAAACGGCAATTAAGTCCCAGTTCTGTGTGTGTTTGCGTATGTGTGCGTGTGTGTGTGTGTACATAAGCATGTGTGTATACGTGAATGAGAGAAAGGCAGAGAGAGATTATGGGGTAGTTAGGATTTAGTATAAAGGGAGTCTGGCCTGGCAGAAGCTCTTCACCGCTGGGGGCTGAGGGACCAGGTTAAGACTGAACCGTGAACCCTGCAGAGATTTGGCAGCGGGCTCGGGCGGGGCTGCATCCAACACACCCTGACCTTGCCAGGGCAGGTGGCAGATGGAGTCTTCAAAGGCAATGAGTCCAGAAATCCATTTCTCTCTCAGGGTTTCTGGATGGCTTCACTGCACACTCAAAGGTCAGCCAATACAGCTCCCTTCACTCTCCATGATGTTAAAGGCTTGGGAAGCTGTGCAGACTCCCCTAGAGCCAGCTGCCTGGGACTCGGGGACAGGAATATCCCTTCCAGGGGGGCCTCAGGAGGTAGTAGAACTCTTGGAGCTCCTACTACAGCACCCCCCCCTTTGATATCCTGGAGAAGATGGTGTTGGCCTGGTCACAGCCCAGCACCCTTCCCACCCTTCTGGAGTGGAGCTGGCCTACATCATGAACCCCGGCGAGAATAATAAAAATAGTCCCTGGTTTTCATCACTTTCCCCCCGTAGTGCTGCATAACCTCTGCATTAACAAGCAGTGAACTGGTGTAATGGGAAGACTGGACACAGACACCATTTGGTTAAATAAAATTTTACTTCTCTAAAAGAGAGAGAAGAGAGAATATCCAATCAGAATGTATAATGAAGATCAGCAACATTATCCTGACGGGCGGCGATACAAGATTCTAAACCCCAGAGTCCTATTCACGTTGTGCTTAGGTGTGGATAAGTCTCCTCTCTCTAAGCTCAGCCTTTCCTATGTGTGTGTATATACAAAGGGGTTCTGCACCCACTTGGTCTGGTGGTCCGCAGGGCCACCTCACTGAGCCCAGTGCCCCCTACAACTCAAGAGTTATGCAGTTCCGGCATAACTGAGGGACAAGTGTGGCCCAGTATGACCAGAGTACTCACCTACCACCCTCTGGAACCTCTTGAAGGTGTAAGCTTACAGCTGTAGAACGACAGCAAGCATCAGTTATCCAGACACCACTGGGAGTTACACGACCAGGCTGTTGAAACCAGTTCTATATAGTGGCCATCAACTGCCCCGCAGAACCTGCCTGAAGTCTTCGAGGTACACACATTCCCGGGAGAAGGCATCCAATCGCTCCGGTTGGGTTAGGTGTCTTCCCCCGCCCCAGGGGTCATTGCAGTGTGAGCCAGTGCTCCTTCCAGCTTCCTGAGAAGGGCCCAGGCAGGATGGAGACGTTGACGCAGGCGAAACGCAGTGCTACCCAGATTTTGAAGTGAGGGACTCAGAGGCTTTAGCACTTTGGCCAAATTGTTATTTACAAGAGACTGAAGAAACAAAAGTGATTCTCCACAACGGGGAGGGGTTGGCTAGAAAGAACCAAGCAGGTGATGAGGTTCCCATCAGAGGACTTGGCGTCTATTGCAGGACGTGGGCCCAGGTGAGGACTAGACTAGCAGAGAAGGAAACTGAGACTGGGTAGGGGAAAGTGTGGAGTCAAGGACAGGACAGGGAGAGCCCTGGAAAGTGCTGCCACACAGAAGCAGGATGTACCTGAGGTGCCTACAGCACCCCCATTGCTGGTCTTTGAAAATACCGTGAATTCAGTTCTGGTAAGTAAGGGATGAACTGAGGCTGGCGATCACATGCTTTGCCCTGTGAAGGGGTAGCCCAAGAACTGGGTCATTGAGCTGAGCATAAGCCTAATGTGTGTGTCAGCAGATAGTGATGGAGGAAATGAGGAGTCTGTACCTGGAGGGCCACATGCTATCACAGTATCTTCTGCATGTGGTGACACCCCCCCGCCCCCACCACTCCA